TTAAGTAATTAGATTCCCTTAGAAGACTATACGGATTAATTTTTGGGTGGATCAGAATTTCAGGAACAGTACATAGACACTGATTTTTAAAAAAAAGAGTAAGTGACAAACAGCCTATAAATAGGAATTTCAGGCTTCTCTGGGGTAACTGCCAAGTTTCTTAGAACATCAGAGTTCCTCACATGTTCAACAGTACCTAGAAATTTTAAAATAGATAAGGCCTAAATAATATATAAACATCAGCAATATGAAATATTTGACGGTGTAGTATAACAAAAAAGAGATGTATATTAGAATAAAATCTTTAACCCTTCAGTGACTTGGTTTCTCTAAGAAAAGTGTAAATAACTGATAATAACTAGGGTGTGTGGGATGAAAGGGGAGAATATCACAGCTGTTCTAGACCCAGTCTGACCAAAGGATCTCACGCCATTAAAGACATCGTATTCACTGTTTTCTCTCTAGTGCTTGACTCCTCCACTCTCTGTCCCTTGCAGGTTGGTCAAATTCCTAGAATATTACCCTGCTTATAAACCTCAGGAGCCTTTGCACCAAGCATAAATAATGGGTACTAGTGCAAAAGCTATTTGGCATACAGTGAAAGTTACCTGACATGCTAAGACATATTAAACAAATGGGGTCTGATCTCGCAGTGATGTAAATCAGGAATAATTCCATTTAAGTGAATTCAGTTACACCAGTCTAAACCATGAGATCACAATCAGGTCCATGTTATTAAATGAGACACAGTGTAAGTGATATTGGGCTGGATTCACCATTGTGTTACTCCAGTTTTACATCAGTGTAACCATTGATGGACATACTGATATGAAAGTGGGCTAAAGCACTAGTGAATAATGCCCAACATGTTTAAGATGTCCCATATAAAGTTTGTAGCCAACTGAGTCTCTTAAATGTTGAAGGTCCTTAGGAATCTTCTTAAGGATGATATAAAAATACTGTAAGTAGTTACCAAATTAGATTTGTTTCTACTAACTCAAATAATAGTCACAAATGGTTCATTACATTTACAGCATGTGTAACCCTCACCTGTTGGGTGTGGCACTCTGTCCCATTCTAGTAGTTCCTAGATCAGCTAGAGATCGAAGAGTCTGCTGCAGCCTTGGCTAACAGAGATGTGTCTTTTAGTTCATGCAATAGAGGCTCATGTGTTAAGCTCCAGAGATCACAGGTTTGATCCTGGCCTACAATGACCAGGGTCTGTCAGTGTTACACATGCATGCTCTGTGAACCAAATTACATCCAGAGCTACACAGGTGCAACTCCCACTGACTTCACTGACAGTTGCACCCATGTACCGGAGTGTAAAATCTGACTTTATGTTTAGTCTAGCACGCAACAGCCGCAAAATGTTGTTTCATTTCTCTGACAACTATGACACATTCCATGTTCTTCCTTTTGATCCCTCTGTTCACAAGCAATTAGGCCTAAATTCACTCAGTTGTGGAGTGCTCCACTTGAGCCATCTTCAAGAGGCCTGATTTCCAGAAAAAGTTGAGCACCCAGACTCTGAAAACAGGCCTTTTTAAGATCCCTCAGGTTGAGCACACAAAAACCGAGGCACTCAAAATCATTAGTTACTTTTGAAAATTTAGGCTGTATATATTAGAGACCATTTTTAGGAGAAACATAGTTAATCATAAAATGTACTGAAAGATTTAGAACCAGGCCTTTGGGCAGTTTGAAAAGCAGTTCATCCATAAAAATGGTACTCAAGACTCTGTGGACCTACTATTGTGTTTAAAAAGATTAAAGAACTAATTTTACTTAATAATAATTTAAATTCCCCATTAAAATATTCAGATATCATGGAGAAGATCAATCAACCTGTGAATTATTCTGAAAAACTGCTTCTGTACCTTCATGCTTTCAGCTACGAAACAGTCCAGCTTGCATCAAAGAAGCATCAATACGTATTACCGAAAAATACACAAAAAAAGCAAATAGACAGCTGACTAGACAACAATGAGATAAAAACCAAAACACTGTGCTTCATGCCTCCAGATTCTTTTAATGGGCCAAACTCTCCTTCTGTCTCTTGAAACTCATAATGTAATTGTCAGTGATTGCAATGATACCTTCTCATGACATAAAAACTCACCAACTGCAGGCTCATTGCTAATAAACTTGTTTAAAACAACTTATTAAGACATAACCTTTAAGTGTGTGAGAAAACAATATGCAATCAAACATGCAGTATAAACAGCTATGAAGCCAAAACAAAATGTTAGGATTGCCGCAGCTTCCTCTGAGTGAATCAAAGCATATGGTGGTATAATGGAGCATGAATTTACAGCAACAGAGATGTACAATATAGATTAAAGCTTCATCTGCAAGGACATACTGCACAGCAAAAAACAACAATTATTGTGTTTGCTGCTTTATATTTTAATGATCAACAAAGGAGCTTTGGTAGAACTAGGGCTCCCTCTGCTGAATGCATCCGATGAAGTGAGCTGCAGCTCACGAAAGCTTATGCTCAAATAAATTTGTTAGTCTCTCAGGTGCCACAAGTACTCCTTTTCTTTTTGCGAATACAGACTAACACGGCTGCTACTCTGAAATCTACTGTTAGTATGATGATAATAAAGCTTCCTCAAAATCATCAGCAGAAATGTGCCCTCCTGATAACACTTTTCTTTTAAATTTAAAGAAACAACAGCAGGCCCAACAGGAAATCAGCAGTACATACTAAGCTGACTCTGAGGATGGACACAGGACTTCAGGTCTTGTGCAGGATAGGAATGTGAGTGACTCTAGCTCCGCTGAAGGAAAATCAAAACTTTTTCTCCCTTTCCCTCTCTCCTCCTTCACAGCTAGTCATAATAAGCTACTGAATTGCCCCTCCTGTTGTAATAATTACAAAGAAATAGAACAAACAAACAAAAAATTCTCTACTAATTGCTTTCCCATCCACTGCAGGAATTTTTAGTTCAAAGCACCAAAAAGCAAACAATTTGATACCCTGTATAACTGATTTTTGTTATATTATTACCTCCTGAATTTCTATAGAAATATTAATCTTTAAAAACTTGTAGCTCTTTCAGTCCCTGAAGAGCTGCCTGTTTGATAATCGGTATCTCAGATGGAATAATATCTAGTGCCAAATGTGTTCCGCATTTGGCCCATGATAACTCCCAAATTAGGACATCTACACCAGCACTTTAAAGTGTTGCAACTTTCTCACTCAGGAGTTTGAAAAAATACCCCCCTCAGCGCTTCAAGTTTCAGTGCAGCATTGCAAGTGGCAGTGTAGACAGTGCTCTTGCCAAATTAGAGATCTCGATCAATCATGCATCATCACTTATGTTTTGTGTAGCACTGATTACACCACCACCAGGTGGAATGTGTCCATAATAGCCACTTTGAATTGGTATAAGTGCTACCTTACACCAGCTCAGGTGCGGGCTGGTATATTTATCAGCTTTCCATGCCTTATTAGATCTGGAGGGTAAGAAGCAGCTAGTAGCTGAGGGGCTGTTGGGAGCATAGCTACCAGCTGAGTTCTTCCTACCCTCCACTGGGTGCTGAGATATAGTATCCCCAACAGTCCAAAGATGGATGTGGAGTTCCTTGGCCAGAGCGGGCATAATGGGGTGTGTGTGTGTGTATATGAGGTGAATCATGCCCTATGGGAAGCCTGGCTGCTGGGAGAGTATATCAGGGAAGGGGTGTAAATGGCACCGGTAGCAGATATTGCAGTGTCAGCCAGTGATCCACATGTGGAAGTGAGGCTTGGGGAGAGCATTTCTGAAGTGGTATGGGAATCTAAAGGGGGGGGCGATGCTGAAGGAGCCATAGCCTGGTGGGGACAGAGAGGTGACTCAGCCATCAAAATAAGTAAGTTTATTAGTTGAGCAGTTCTGAGGATGGAGACTGATTGCAACTTTGAGGCTTTACTCTAGTGGTTCTCAAACTTTTGTACTGGTGACCCCTTTCACATAGCAAGCCTCTGAGTGTGACCCCTCCTTATAAATTAAAAACACTTTTTATTTATTTAACACCATTATAAATACTGGAAACAAAGCAGGGTTTGGGGTGGAAGCTGACAGCTCATGACCACTGTTCCCTCTAAGCTGTGCGCATGTGTGCGCACAAACAGATCCTAAACCCCACGCACATGGCGAAACACTGTGCGCACAAAAATTTGCAGAAGCACAACAATTTGTACAGAAGAAATTTTTTGTGCACACAGCCTGTCAAAATTTAGAGGGAACATTGCTCATGACCCCCCATGTAAGAACCTTGTGACCCCCTGAGGGGTCCTGACCCCCAGCTTGAGAACCCCTCCTTTACTTCTATAAATTATAGGGGTAACTTCAACCACATGGGGTCTCCCTATGAATCCAGCAAAGCCCTTCTGCAAGGGGGTGCAAGGTGCATTTCAGTCAGCTCAGGGACACTACAGACAACGATTTCTCTAGTGTCGGCATACCAAATTCGCTGGATATAGCCAGTCACAGACTGGCTGTATATTGGCCAGAAAAACGGATGCAAGTAGCCAGCTGGCGGAGTGTAACCTGCACCCCTGTGGCGCTGAGAGGGCAGGCTCCGCCGGTACGGCGCAGCCACGATGCACCAGGCCCTGGGTGGAATCTATCAACACAACCAGCTCGTCGGGGCCTACGCGATGCCAGTGGCTGGGCGAGGAGCAGAGCCGGGCTGGTCTACCGAGGCTCGGGGAGAGTTTGAAGGGGAGGCAGCATGCCGGGCAGGAGGGGGAGGGCTAGGCCCGGTAACGCACCCCTGGGCACTGCGGCGCCCATGGCCGTGACGACGCTCCGAGGGGTGAGATTCCCCCGGAGGTGGAGTCCCCGGCCGGCAGCCTGAGGTGGGGGATGTGGGAGGCTGGCCCCACCCGCTCACCCCTTACATCTCGCTCCGCCAGGTCCTGCTAGCACCTCCCCTGAGCGCCCGTTCCCCGCGCAATTCCCTCGTCCCACCGGCTCTCGGCCGGCAGCCTGACAGGGCTCTCGGCAATGGATTGGTGGGGTCTCGGACCGGGGCGCATGCGCACTGTGTAGTAAGCGGCCCCGCCGGTCACCCCGCGCTGTTCCGCCACCCCCAGCCATGGCGGACGAGGAGCTGGAGGCGCTCCGCAAGCAGCGGCTGACTGAGCTGCAGGCTAAGCATGGGGTAAGGGGCTGGCACCGCTCGTGGACACCGACCATGGACTAGTTCCCCCTCCGCCTTGACAGCCCCCACCGCTACCTCCTCAGCTTCCCCCCATCCGGTCCAGACAGCCCCATTCAGCCCCCCTCCCCGGGGACCCGACAGCCCCCACCGCTCCCTCCTCAGCCCGCCTACACCCCACAGTCCTGGCAACTCCTCTCAGCCCACCGCTCCTCAGGGCCCTGACAGTCTCCCTGCTCGGGCCCAAAAGCTCCCCCGACACCTCTCTCCGGTCCCCTCCGCTAGCCCCGACAGCCCCCCCTTCACTGGGGCCCATGCACCGCTCAGCCTCCCCAGGGCCCAGACTAGGGTGACTTGCTGCCCCCTATTTGAAAGGAGGTCCCTTGACCATTTTAAACATTAAATTGAATGTTATGATAATTGCATCGTGTACACGAGGGAAGTAGAAAAGTACACTTGGGAGAAAAACACTAGATAGGCTAAGGGAAATGGTGTTTCCCTAAAATGACCTTTAAAATAAAGCGACCATTATTTTCATCTGACAAAGGTGGTCCCCTTAGCCCACCCATACACCCTGGGCCCAGACCACTCCCTCCACACCTTATCTGCCTCCCCAGGGACGAGACAGCTTCTCCAGACACCTGATGCCCAGTCCTTGTAACCCAGATGGCCTTTTGCCAGCCTCCTCCTCTCCTTCAGGGCCCATGCGGCTCTCTGCCCTACCCCTCATCACTTCCAACAAACACCAGCAGCCCCCATTCCCCTATTCAGGCTCCAAGGACCTCGTCTGGGTAGTTTCCCCACCCTATTTCAACTCCTGTTCCCTTGGTCCTCCACCCAGTGCCCAAGCAGTATCTGTCTCTTCTTTCACAACCACTAGACATGTTGCACGGTTCCCTTGGTTTTCTGAAAGGCCAGTCAGTGTTTTTCAGAACTGACGTATTGAATGAATTAAAAGAGTAAACAGAAGCAAACCTGCATTGCTAGAAGGGTTTTAAGAAACTGTGGAGTTATAGAATAACTTATATATCATTGTCTTTGTGAAATACTTGGCAGGGGAATATAAATACCAAATTGGGTAATGGGATGGCCAAAGGAACTATTCATGTACAGTGTAACTAATGGAAATCTGCTTTGTACTTTAATCACATGTCTGATATGAAGTGTTTAGGGGTGGGACTCTTCTTCCCCTTCCATTAATCTGTGTTTAATAACTTTCTTCTAAGAAATTAATAGGCTGGGAAAAGAACTTGAAGAGATGTAACCTGTGAAATCACTTTCTTTGAATAAAACATTCTGTTAAAATAGAACAGGGCTACTCTATTGTGTACATAATTTTATTTTGAAAAATTGCAAACAAAATTGTTAAGTAGGAGAGAAGATAGACTTTTACAAATTGTTTAGAAAGCAACACTTTCAAAACCCTTTCTAGACTGGTTACCACTGTTGCTGCTGCTTGTAGTTTGTTCATAGGTTGGGAGTTTTGAAGATTTCAACTTTAATTGCAAGCCTAATTTAGGGAGTTTGATGTCTGTAGCTATGATCTACGGCAGGCTGTTGGAAAGCTCACCCTTCTGCCTTCAAAGATCACAAAGCTGGCCTTATGCCCCAAACCTGCAACTGCCTTTATCTGGGCGAATCCAGTTGCAGGATTAGGGTACAAGTTTGCTCCACCAGGACAAATAACCATGGATCACTCATCTGTTGGAGCAGGCACTTTACATTCTCAATGTCTAAACTATGGTAATTGTATTGTTGCAGGCTTGTCGGTCCCAGGATATTAGAATGACAAGGTGAGAGAGGTAATATTTTTTTATTGGACCAACTTCTGTTGGTGAGAGAGACAAGTTTTTGAGCTACACAGAGCTCTTTCTCAGGTCTGGAAAAGGTACTCAGAGTACCACAGGTCTGGGAAAGAGTTCTGTTTAGCTCAAAATACTTGTATCTCTCACCAACAGAATTTGGTCCAGTAATTTGGTCCTCGCCCACCTTGCCTCTCTTAACCATGGTCAGGCAGATAATTTCGCTTTAGCCGGCTTATTTTAAATTCCAGTGAAATACTAAGATCTGACATCCTGCACGGAGTGTTTTCTAAAGGGATTGCTAAAGTTTTTATAAAAAGAAAAGGAGTACTTGTGGCACCTTAGAGACTAACCAATTTATTTGAGCATAAGCTTGGTCTGTGTGTATAAAAACATCTTCTGTATTTTCCACAGTATGCATCCAATGAAGTGAACTGTAGCTCACGAAAGCTTATGCTCAAATAAATTGGTTAGTCTCTGAGGTGCCACAAGTACTCCTTTTCTTTTTGCAAATACAGACTAACACGGCTGTTACTCTGAAACCTAAAGTTTTTACGTAATTCTTGTCTTACAGGACCCTTCTGGTGATCCAACGCAACAAGAAACCAAACAGAGGTATGAATGTGAGCTGTTGATTTTAGGTAGCATATTCACAGTCAAATGGTTTTGAATTTCTATCAGTTCATGTTTTTAAACATTAATTGCAGTTCCTTGAAACACTAAACTGGGTTATTTTGTTATAGAACAGCCAGTAAATCAACTGCTAATAAGTCAAGGGGTTTTATCTTTGGCTCTTCACTTATGCAAAATTTGGGAGTTTTGCCACAGATGCTTGGAATTGGGCCCTAAATTATTTAGAACCTGTGCCTGTTAGTGGGAACTGGATCAAATCTCTAGTTTGATTTTGTCGGGCGTTGTGGCTTTTTGGGGTTTTTTGTTTTGTTTTTACAATCTCTAAAAACATTCTTTTCCTACACCTCAGATAAACATTAAATTTTCTTCATTTTTGTGTTAATCTGTCATACGTAGCATCTGTACCTTCTTGAATGATATGACGTTTAGTCCTTAAAAATAATTTGTTTTTTGTTTTGATAATACAAAGTATTCAGCAGACTTGGTCATCTTGCAAGATGCTATGTCTGATGCTTGAAACCATAGTTCTATTGTGTAACTGAATTTTCATTACAGGGAGGCAGAGATGAGAAATAGCATTTTAGCTCAAGTGCTCGATCAAGCAGCTCGTGCCAGATGTAAGCATCCATGTATTTTGCCATTAAATAAAAATTCTCATTTTTACTGTATTATGTCCCCCTAAATCAAGGCCTTAAATAGAATGCATAGGAGATAAATGCATTCTTTTATTTCATCTCTGATGATGGAAAAATAATAAGACTAATGCTGTGGATTTTCAAATCACTAATATTTTTTAAAAACTGATCATGAATACACACATGCTGAAAAGCAAATCCTCAGATGTGGTGGTTTATTCTAGTGGGAGCAGGAATTAGTGAATTTGTGCTTGTGAAAGGTGCCAAATTGATAGCCTGCTTAGTCTGAATTTCTCTGTTTATGGGGAGAGCATGTGAAAAGCAGAGCAAGCAGAAGTGCCAACATCCCTATGCGTCAGTGTATCTTAACCTTTATTTAGAGGGGCTCAGCTCTAGTAATGAGAGAATAAATCAGGGTCTCTGCCAAGACTGCATGCAAGGATGAGAGTTGTCATGAGGAGTTTTTGTGATACGGATGTTTGTTCATTAGTAAATTAAGGGTATGTCTACAATACAAACCTAAGTCGACCTATGTTAGCTTAATTTACAGCCACCGCAGTAATTACTGTGGTGGTGCATGTCCACACTACCCTCCATGGGTTGGTGGTGCGTCCTCACCAGGAGTGCTTCCACCAACCTAAGAGGGGGAGTGCAGAGAACTGAGAGCCCGGTATCTCAGCTTTGCTGGCAGCTCCCTGCCAGGAGCCTGGCTGCCCAACAGGCTCCTGGCAGGCTGCCCTCTCCCCCTTCTCCACTGGGGACAAGGCTGCCCGGATTCCAGCAGGTACCACTTGGGCTTCTCACCCTGGCTTCCACCTGGGAGCCGGGGAGCAGGTGGGCTATAGCTGCCTGACTTTCTTGCCATGAAATTGACAAGACAGCTGATGTAAGGGATGCAGTGTCTACACAAATACTGTCGCCCTAACTACACCAACATAAGCCTTACACCTCTCATGGAGGTGGACTTGTTATGTTGGTGTAGTAGGGCATTTACATTGGTGGGAGGAAGGCTGTAGAGTGTACACTGACAGAATTAGGTCAACATAAGCTGCTTTATGTCGACCTGTGTACTGTAGACTACCAACTTATTTGTATGCCAAAGACCATCTATATAAAGTGGTAACAAATTGGTCACAACTGATTTAATTTAGATTTGAACCAGTACCTAGGAGTGAAAGGCATTTTCGTCCATTGCCAATTTCCCATAACAAGATTTTAATTTGTATGTATTAAAAATGGAGGTGGTGCTTGGTAGAGGAATGTGGCCTTGTTATTGATCTGCAGCATTAAATTTAGTAGCAGGATGAAACACTGGTAAGTATGTAGGGTTGCCTTCTTGTAAATAGTAAGAGATTTGAACCCCTAACAAATTTTTAGAAGGAGCATAGTTGGAGAGTGTTGCAGTTTTGTATAAATTAAAACTATTCAATTCATGGTTCTTTCATACCCTAGCATGAATTTAGGACTAAATTGTACAGTACCTCATTCACTTCTGTTGTATTGTAGTTGGAGGTAAAATACAAAAATGAACAGTGCCTATTTTTGTTGCAGTAAGCAATTTAGCACTTGTGAAGCCAGAAAAGGCAAAAGCTGTAGAAAATTACCTTATACAGATGGCAAGATTTGGACAGCTAGGTGGGAAGGTAAGTTAAATTTTTTATGTTACTCTAACTCTTGTTTGTCTGGTCACTTTCAAACCAAGTGTTCCCAATGAAACAAATTGAGAAATTTAACACTGAAGTGTATAAAATTTTGTATTACATGTGACGGTGTGAGCTACAGCATGTATCTGAGTGATTCTCAAATCCTTAAACTGTGTGTGTGTATGTACATTTGTATGCAAACACTGTCCATACTTATTTAAAAACATTTATGATTTAGCTGTCTTTAACTGAAGTGCTTTTCTGGGGTGGAGAAGTGCAGTTTAATGCCCAGGAAGACAGTCAGCCTTGCAATTTAAAGCATTTGTTCTCCTTTGTGACATTGCCTCCACAGAGGCCACTGACTCAGCTGGGAATTCCAGAGTTGCAGGTACTGACAGCTAACCCACATTATACCAGCTTCCACAAAGACAGGGGCTACCTTAAGCTTCACCTCAAATGTGATAAAACTGTATTGTATTTTCATCTTAATCAATTTTGCTACCTGGGTGGCTTCCCAAAGTATCATAAGCATCCTGGGGAAGGGAAGTTTCTATACCCTGAATGTTAAGAGCTATTGGCTGTAAGTCTAAGTGAATAAGATCATGTAACTAGTCATTGAGAACTAGTGGACATTCTAGTGTCTCACCATCAGGGTTCACTCGTTTTGTTGGATGGTAGCCCCGTGAATCTACAGTGTGTTATCCAAAACATTTAGGGTTGGTACTTAGAATTCAATTCACAAATTACTGTTCTTTCAATAGTGCAGCAAGACCAAATGCTGATTTTTAGGAGGGCAGTGCTTCTCAGCCTGACTTCTGAGGGAAGCCTCTCCCCACTCCAGAAAGCAGCTTTAATTAAGGCTTCTGGAGGTAGATGGGAACTAAGGGACTACTAGAGGACACAGGACTTTTACACTCCCTGTAAATGAAACACAGGGCTTGAGGAAATTGCACTTAATCTATAACTGTCCAGGACCATGACTCCTGCAGCAGGGCTTTTTGAGGCAATAAAATCTGAAAACAAGTTACTGTGGATAAGTAGTCCTTAAAAATATCTGTCATTGGTACAGAAATGCTGCAAATTTCTGTGAGCCATATTGTAACTTGTTACAGGAATATCTTCTAGAGGCAGTAATATCGCATTGGTAATAGGGCTGTCAAGCGATTAAAAAAATTAATCATGATTTATTGCATGATTAACAACACTGTAAAACAATAATAGAATACCATTTATTTAAATATTTTTGGATGTTTTCTACATTTTCAAATATATTGATTTCGATTACAACACAGAATACAAAGTGTACAGTGCTCATTTTATATTTTTGATTACAAATATTTGCACTGTAAAAAACAAAAAAATAGTATTTTTCAATTCACCTAATACAAGTGCTGTAGTGCAATCTCTTTATCATGAAAGTTGAACTTACAAATGTAGAATTATATACAAATAAACTGCATTTAAAAATAATGTAAAATTTTATAGCCTACAAGTCCACTCAGTCCCACTTCTTGTTCAGCTAATCGCTCAGACAAACAAGTTTGTTTACATTTGCAGAAGATAATGCTGCCCGCTTCTTGTTTACAATGTCACCTGAAAGTGAGAACTGGCATTCACTAGGCATTGTTGTAGCCAACATCGCAAGATATTTACATGCTAGATGCGCTAAAGATTCATATGTCCCTTTACGCTTCAGTCACCGTTCCAGAGGACATGCGTCTATGCTGATGACAGGTTCTGCTTGGTAATTATCCAAACCAATGCAGACTGATGCATGTTCTTTTTCATCATCTGCCTCAGATGCCACCAGGAGAAGGTGGTTTGGGTTCTGTAGTTTCCGCATCAGTGTGTTGCTCTTTTAAGACTTCTGAAAGCATGCTCCACACCTCATCCCTCACAGATTTTGGAAGGCACTTCGGATTTTTAAACCTTGGGTTGAAATTTAGAAATTTCACATTGGTACCTTCTTTGCATTTTGTCAGATTTGCAGTGAAAGTGTCACAACCCAATGGCCCCCTTCTCTCAGGGAGTCCCCTGGGGAGGCAGATCAACACTGTATATTGCTAACACTGTTGCAAGCATGGCAAAGCATTTTGGGGAGGGTCAAAGGTGTGCGAGTGGGGAGTGGAAGTTTTCTTTACAGGGTGTGAGAGGCCGAGAAGAAGAGAGCAGAGAACGAGTTAATTCAACACTTCAGCTAGCTCAATTCAAAGATAAGACACTGGCCCCATCCAGCCCAAGGTCGCAGCTCACAGCTGACGTTTGGCTGCGAGCTGAGAAAGATGGGGGCTTGAAAGTTGACCGGGCAGCTGTCAGAGAGAAAATCCAACTGCACAGACATGCACCTGCAAGACAGCAAGGCCAGCAAAGAAGAAAACAAAGCCCAGGGCTGCAGTCTGAAAACACAGACGAGGCAACAAGAGGGGGAGCTGAGCCAGGTGTCCCTGAAGCCGGGGTGTTTTGGGAAAGGGAAGGAGACCACAGAAAGCCGGTTTGGATTGACCCAAAGAGCACCAGGAACAGAGGTCGTGGAATGGAATACCCCCAAAGGAGCCCAGGACTTAAACCCCTCCTGAGAGCTGGAGTAATTTGGAGATTTGCAGCGGACTTTGGATGACCTGGGTCCAGGACAAGAACTCTGTCCACCCACCCCACCCCCCTTCTTCTTACGTTACACCCAGCCCTGGCCAGCTTCGGGTAGTACGTGTGTGAGTATGAATGTGGGTTAGGGCTTGGGGCGCTAACGCTTTCTTTCTTCCTTCCTCTTTGTGACGTGGGGAGCACCCATCACTCTCCGCTGTTATTTTATTATTTATCAATAAAACTTAGACATTTGGTGTGTTAGGTCATCTCCTCCCTTAAAGATCCTGCGGCCTCAGCCTGATCAACTGACGCTTCAGGAAGATTTGTAACAGAAATCTGTCACAAAAGTGTTCTTAAAACAAACAACATGTGCTGGGTCATCATCCAAGACTGCTATAACATGAAATATATGTCAGAATGCTGGTAAAACAGAGCAGGAGACATATAATTCTCCCTTAAGGAGTTCAGTCAGTAATTTAATTAATTAATTTTTTACCTTGGAAGCATGTCCTCTGGAACAGTGCCGAAGCATGAAGAAGCATATGAATCTTTAGCGCATCTGGCATGTAAATATCTTGCAATGCCAGCTACAACAGTGCCATTTGAACGCCTGTTCTCACTGTCAGGTGACGTTGTAATTAAGAAGTGGGCAGCATTATCGCCCATAAATGTAAACAAACTTGTTTGTCTTAGCAATTGGCTGAACAAGAAGTAGGACTGAGTGGACTTGTTAGGCTTTAAAGTTTTACATTGTTATGTTTTTGAGTGCAGTTATGTAACAAAAAGAATCTACATTTATAAGTTCCACTTTCATGATAAAGAGATTGCACTACAGTACTTGTTTTAGGTGAATTGAAAAATACTATTTTGTTTATCACTTTTACAATGCAAATATTTGTAATAAAAATATAAAGTGAGCACTTTACACTTTGTATTCTGTGTTGTAATTGAAATCAATATATTTGAAAATGTAGAAAAACATCCCAAAATATTTAATAAATTTCAGTTGTATTCTATTGTTTAACAGTGTGACTAAAACTGCGATTAATCTCGATTAGTTTTTTTAATCATTAATTTTTTTGAGTTAATTGTGTGTGTTAGCTGTGATTAATTGACAGCCCTAATTGGTAATCAGTCTCTTTAGCATGTGAGCCACTAAACAGTATGTTACAGTCTCAATAGTCAATTGAACACCTCTGCAAGCACACAAATGGGGAAGGGGAAGCAAGAGAACAACTGTACTAGATTCAATTATTTGAGTCTAAGCCACTTCTCCAAATAGTTTGTGGCTTTTATTCTGCCTTTCTAGGTATCAGAACAAGGGTTGATAGAAATACTTGAAAAAGTGAGCCAGCAAACAGAAAAGAAAACAACAGTAAAGGTAAGGTTTTTTCCAAAGGCAGCGTAAACTTGATTCAAACCTCTTATCAGACAATGCAGAAAAATAAAAGACTAGGGCCAACAATAGTTGCTGCACATATTCAATGCTATGGATACACTATTTGTATGTTTAAGCTATATAACTGCTTAAAATATATTTAGATTCTTAATTTTACATTTTTGTTAGAAAATAGTGTGTGCATTTATTTACTAGATCATGATTTGTCAGGTTACATTTGGATGAAAACTGGAATTCAATCAGTTGCACAAAAAAACATTTTCAGATTTTTTTTGTTAAATAAAACTACCTTAAATGCACAGAATACATAAGTTTATTAAAACATGTTTTGCATTTAAAAGTGATTCTTTAAACAAAGGAAGTATCTGTAGTTTATAGCTGGCCAGCATGCCTTCAAGATTTTAGAACGGGTAGATCTTCTCATACCTCATTTTTATTCATAAATTGGAAAAGGAAAACTATCTTTCCTCCACTTTCGTCTCCTGATTGGTTTCTCAACTTTGCATTAGCTAGTCATTGGATTGAGTTAGTGGAATAAACTGAAAGAAAATATTCTCTCTGCACCTGCAGAAGAGGCTACTGCTTTTAAAAGCAGATTCTGGATTTCAAACTGTGGTTCCACGTGCTTAGCCAGTGACCAGTTCAGATGATTGACTTTCTTTAAATCTTTGGCAGCAAACATGTACTGCTTGAATTATTTTTGTAATGATTAATAGGTAAGTTTAGCCCTTAATGTAGGTTAATTTCAAATTTAATTTTACTAGAGTATTAAATTAAGTCTAATTTTGATTTATATCATAGAATTTTTTTTAATCACCCAGAATAGTACTAAAGTAACCAACAGAGTACTCAACTATGGAAGTAGCTTTTGACCACAGAAGGTGGACAGTATTTTAGTGCTAGCTATTTTTCCTATTGTCTTTGCCCTTGGTGATGTTCACTGTGAATCTGCATTACTTCTGCAGAAATAAGAGGTTCTGGAAAGTTGACAGGCTATTTAAACACTTAGATAAAGATTCCTTCTTCTAAATGTGTAGGGAGGCCAAAACTCAGCAGAACCATAATAATTCTATAAGATCGTATTTCTGAAGCCTGAATTCCCTGTATTGGGGACTGTAGCCCTGTACCTTGGAGCTGAGTTTCAGGGGGAAGGTTTGTGGGCTTGGTTTGTAGGGCCATAGGTCCACTGGTCACAAATGTTTTTACAGGGAGCAATGAGCTGTAGTGGCTACAATTCTATAAGTTATCCACTGCCCTTTCTTCATCTTGCCATGCTGGGGAGGGAAGGATTCTAGATTCCATCCACACAGCACCCATGTGGACTACTAACTTGGATGAGCATTGAGAACTTTGCCCTTAGTGATTAACTTGAGTCTTCAATCTTTGAAGCTGGAAGGAGTTGCTGTAAACTGAATTTACTGTGTTTGTTTCTAGTTCAACAGAAGAAAAGTACTGGATTCTGATGAAGAGGATGATGATGATTAAATGCTACTTGTAAGATTGCTTCACGGCCTGGAAAAAGGCAAAGAAAACATATGGTATAGGCAAATTGAAAGTTCTGACAAAACATTTATGTGTATTTGCTTTCTGCATTCTGTTTTTGATAAAGGTCAATAAATAAACGAACTCATGTTCTGTAAAACAAAATTTGAGAAGGGTTTTTATAGCTTAACTTTTTGTAGTAGTAGAGGCTTGCGTGGTATGGATTTTCTCACCACTTTCTTAGCATGAACTTTCCTTTGTCCCACTCAGCCTGTAAGCTATGCTATCATCACCTGCCACTCCATAAATTATTGCTACCATAAGAGAGGTCTTGGGAGGGCAGTAAAAGTGTCTTACGTTGCAAACAGCGGTGGGAACTGCAAGAATGTCAACTCTCTCAATGTCACAACAGTTGATATCCTCTAGTTATCCAATACCTCACTGGTTCTCAAACTGGTGGAACCTTTTGTTGGAGTCTGCAGAATAGAACAGCTGATGAACCAGTTGGTGAGAAGAGAGGTGGTTCTTTGAGAGGACATCTTACCATGTAGTCTGCTGGATTAAATTGTACATAGCATGTAGTTTGATTGAACCAGTTCCTTCTGGAAACTGTCAAGTTGTCTCTCACTGGTGAGATGTCTCTGCAGAATGAGGTTAAAAAGTTGAGTAGAGTGGATATTCAGTTGTGGTTAAAACTTAATTGGATAACTAATGTAATAAACTGTATTCAGGTAGTTGGTAACACATGTTCTTCATTCTCCCATTTATTAAATGGTTGGAGTTTATTTTTGTCAAAAAAGGAAAGGCAACTGCTCTAAATTCCATGTGACTTGCATGCATAAAGTAAAACAGACCCTGTGTTGTCATCTTATTTGAATATAGTTTGAAAATTTGTGGTACAAATACTGTTACATCTTGTGTGATAAGATGGAAGTGAAAAGGGGAGAGAGATTTCACTACCAGAGAAGAACTGTTTTCTGCTGTCATTTAAGAGCAACAGTGTACACCATTCCAGCTGTAATGGTTTGGAACTGATTAAAATTTTGTTTAAAAAAGTATGAGCAGTAGTGACTGTTTTTTTCCATCTGTGTGAATATTGTAAAAACTTTGATTAGTACAGCTAGTGTTTGTCAATTTTGTATCTTTAACTTGCAGTCTACATTACCAACTTCCTTATTTAAAATGGCACTTAATTGTAGGCTATAGTTCTTAGCTTCTACAAAGGTGATACCTCTATGCAACTCTTCATGTTAAAATTAAATGTTTGGGTTATTATTAGTGCAGTGAGAAGTTAATAGAAAAGCCTGTTTTGTTAAAAAAAAATTTTGACTCCTTTCAGAGAGTAAACTGGCTTTTGCAGTAACGATGTCTACTTTTTCATTGTAAATAAGTCAAAGACGTGAAAACCCAGTACAATTTGAATCTCATATGATATCAGGGCTTTAGCCTGCAGTTGTGGGGTATACTGGTAAACTGTTAAAAGTGTTCTTTAAGTCTGCTCCCCATCTTTCTCAACATTAACCATCTCATTATTAAAGAAGGATCTTCCTTTTAGATAGGTTTAAGATGCTACTGAATTTACTTAAATTTAGTTTAAGCCATTTCCTTGCATCTCAGAAGAGTGAAACTGCTTAGTATGGTGAGACCTTGTTAGATGTTTGGCTACATGTGTGTTTTCTCTGTGTGCTGTCCCAGCTCTGCGCAGACAGTTGGCACAGCAGATCTCGATCGCACTGCCCAATAACCACAGATCCGTTCATAGCGAAGGAACTCACTCAGGTTTATTGTCACTGAAGCACGGTCCTAATGTCCTGCCTCAAAGGTTACGGGTACACTAACAAATATATGGCTGTTGCAATGGACTAGCTCAGTTAATGGCAGGACTTTCCATTATCCCCATAGCCAGCCAAAGACATTCCCTCAGACTTCATTTTATACATCAGTACAAACAAGTTACATATTGCTCCTCTAATGTGATTTGTTACTGCCCCCTGACATGGGTTGTTACCATCCATTACCTTGTACATGTTGATTTGATCAAAACATCTCTATCCATCATCCTGACCTTATCTTTAGGAGGGCTCAGTGTGCTCCTGTTATCTTTGCAGGGAGGTGTTTGTATCATACTTGGTATGAGGTGTTCTGGTACCATCCTTCTGGAATGTTTGCATGTGTGTTCTTGTGCCTAGCACTGCTTTAGGAATATTTATTTCTGCAATATCAGTCCTGTTCTTGCCAGATTCTGTGAGCAGGCCCTGCCTTTTGCTCACAACTTAACTTTGCTTCATAGCAGCAAAGATTTGAATCATTTTGGGACTGAAGCAGTCATATTTCTCATACTGGGTTATAAATTAAGAGTGAGAGGTATCTGTTTCACACTTATCAAAGAGGAGAGTTATTATAGTGCAGACCTGTTCATTTCAACTGAAAAAATAGGTGGGTTTTATATATAAAAAAAAAAAAATACAGTGCCCTAAATGTCCTAGAACCTGCTTACTTGAAGAACTGCCCCTTCTCTGTGCCATGTGTGATCATAGTAACAGCAATGACCATCTTCAATATGAAGGAACTGCTGAGGTGATGACTTTAGAATTCACACATGCTGTTTCAGAGCAAGAGGAACTTGATCACATGCAGACCATACTGCAAATACATTGTTTTGAAGAGGTATTTGGGGAAGAGCTGTGGTGGGGAAGTCTTGGTTTGCTCGGTGTGATTTGCTGTATGTATTGCACTATATTAATGGATGGATGACCTAGAATTTAGCATAGGTGTCGTCTTGGTATTTAAAAAACTACACCCCAACCAATCAGTGGTTAGGCAGTTCTAGTCAAACATCAAAAACTTTGCTCAATGTGCCACGTCATTTTAGTGCCTCCCTGTTTTGATAACTGAAGCACTCTAGCAGTTTTGAACCATCCATCCATGTTACCCATGCTCAGGACTACTTACTATTGGAAGTATCTGAGATACTTTCACTTCTACAGGGGAGAGTTAAGATTACTGAAACTTTTGAGAAGGGAGGCAATCACAATAATAACCCAACAGACAAGGCTGAAAATGAAAAGTTAGACAGTGATTGGGAAATAGCTCAGACTCAGGCCAAATAAAAAAAAAATTAATGCTGATGCTTATTACAAATACTATTATGGGAGCTGTTTTATTAGTTGCATAGAAATAGATTTGAAGTATGAAGTATTTTGCAGTAAGTATTGTACCGTTTTGATATTTTTGTTAGGAATTGCATCTAGTTTGCTACTAGCAAAATTTAAAAAGTTGTAACTAGTTAATTTCAGATCCACTTACATTTATCTTTAGTTTTTCCCCAAAAGGAGTAAAAGAGCAGTATTAGAGGTGTATTTTCCAAAGGAGAGGTTACTGAATAAACAACATGACAAATCTTGTTGCCAAGGCTAGTCCGCATAATAGATTTATAATAAATACCTAATGAAATAGGGTATTTCATGAAGCACTTGCATGAGAGGAAAGTGATCAGGAACAGCCAGCATGGATTCACCAAGGGAAGGTCATGCCTGACTAATCTAATCGCCTTTTATGATGAGATTACTGGTTCTGTGGATGAAGGGAAAGCAGTGGATGTATTGTTTCTTGACTTTAGCAAAGCTTTTGACACGGTCTCCCACAGTATTCTTGTCAGCAAGTTAAGGAAGTATGGGCTGGAAGAATGCACTATAAGGTGGGTAGAAAGCTGGCTAGATTGTCGGGCTCAACGGGTAGTTATCAATGGCTCCATGTCTAGTTGGCAGCTGGTATCAAGTGGAGTGCCCCAAGGGTCGGTCCTGGGGCCGGTTTTGTTCAATATCTTCATAAATGATCTGGAGGATGGTGTGGATTGCACTCTCAGCAAATTTGCGGATGATACTAAACTGGGAGGAGTGGTAGATACGCTGGAGGGGAGGGATAGGATACAGAAGGACCTAGACAAATTGGAGGATTGGGCCAAAAGAAATCTGATGAGGTTCAATAAGGATAAGTGCAGGGTCCTGCACTTAGGACGGAAGAACCCAATGCACAGCTACAGACTAGGGACCGAATGGCTAGGCAGCAGTTCTGCGGAAAAGGACCTAGGGGTGACAGTGGACAAGAAGCTGGATATGAGTCAGCAGTGTGCCCTTGTTGCCAAGAAGGCCAATGGCATTTTGGGATGTATAAGTAGGGGCATAGCGAGCAGATCGAGGGACGTGATCGTTCCCCTCTATTCGACATTGGTGAGGCCTCATCTGGAGTACTGTGTCCAGTTTTGGGCCCCACACTTCAAGAAGGATGTGGATAAATTGGAGAGAGTCCAGCGAAGGGCAACAAAAATGATTAGGGGTCTGGAACACATGAGTTATGAGGAGAGGCTGAGGGAGCTGGGATTGTTTAGCCTGCAGAAGAGAAGAATGAGGGGGGATTTGATAGCTGCTTTCAACTACCTGAAAGGGGGTTCCAAAGAGGATGGCTCTAGACTGTTCTCAATGGTAGCAGATGACAGAACGAGGAGTAATGGTCTCAAGCTGCAGTGGGGGAGGTTTAGATTGGATATTAGGAAAAACTTTTTCACTAAGAGGGTGGTGAAACACTGGAATGCGTTACCTAGGGAGGTGGTAGAATCTCCTTCCTTAGAGGTTTTTAAGGTCAGGCTTGACAAAGCCCTGGCTGGGATGATTTAACTGGGAATTGATCCTGCTTCGAGCAGGGGGTTGGACTAGATGACCTTCTGGGGTCCCTTCCAACCCTGATATTCTATGATTCTATGAAATATACTTGGACTGTTTGAATATGCTGCATTATAAAATACCCATATTTTAATCTTAAATTTACAAATGATACCTTGCAGCATCTTCCAGCTAAACATGTCCAGGCACTCTATAGAAAATAAATTTGGCCACGAAACAACCCTATGTAAAATTAACCCAATTTTACAAAGAGTAACAATAAAGAATTTGCCATAGGTCACATTTAAAGTCTGTTTTGAGGACGAAAAGCACAATCCATGTCTCCTGCTGTAATTTAAGCATAAGATCATCCTTTTTCTCAAGTTGTTTATAACTAGAATGTATCGTATGGGGAAGAGAGGGAAGGACATACATAGAAGTCATCTAGAAAGAGGAAATATCCTGTTTAAATCCAACTGCTTCTGTAACTTTTTCCCTTTTATATGCAGGCCTTTATATGACGTTAAAGAATAAAGCTCAAGGGGGGAAAAGCATGTTCATTTGTTCAGTGTGGGGAAGGGGAAGCCATCCAAACTTAATGTAACTATTCCAAAAGATCAATTAAACTATCTTTAGGCTTAAAGTAAAATAGTCAAACATTAAGTTACAACAACAAAAGTGAGACGAAAGTGCTAAAGGGGGTCAGTTTTTAAATGAGTAGTCAAAATTAAGAACAGTTTCAAGAATCATTACTTTTACTATTTTTCTTTTCCAACATTTGGCACAACTCCAAGGCAAGTTAGAATATTAAATGAACTCAAATTATTTAGAAAAATATACATGCAACCTTCAGCTGAGTGTTTTTTCAGTGGTGTGTACAGGCTGCACCTTGTACCTCTCTCATTAAAAATCTATTTGAAAACAATCACATGGGAAGTCCTCCAATTTCCCAGTGCCCTAAGCATGTTATCAATACCACTATACAAAATCAAAATGGTCTATATTACTATTTTATAAAAGAAACAATGTTAATTGGATGTGACCAGTGTAAACCAAAACTATCAAGAACCTGAATTGTGCTATTGAAGTCTTTTTCTGATTAATTCACACTTCAAAAAAAAAATTTAAACTGAAAACATGTTAAGAAACAAGTTCCACATCTAAGCTTCCATCTAGTTATTTATGAGCATCCTTTAAAATGATCACCTTTAAAAAGAGGATAACATGCAGCCAGTTTCTGCAAACTCTTACTTTTCCTACCAGATCACTTACCTAGTAGCTGTAGACTTCTGCCCATGTGCAGAGGTGTGAATGTGTGTGGTTTTGTCTGATTTGTTCCGGGGGAAAAGCCAACTGTGTGTGTGTTAAGCATGCTCGTTTCTGCACAGAAATGAATATTTTAATTGGGATCTGAACATTCTTCAGTCCAAAGCTGTTCTGTGTCGAGAGCATTTTACTTTATTCCATCCCCAGTATACATGATCCTACAGAGTCTATGCAGGTAAATGTCCCACTGAAATCAGTGGGCACTTTGTCTGTATAGGGACTGCAGGATACTGCCGTTCATCTCATTTAAAGGTCTTTACATCATGTTGTAGATTTTAAGGATTGTTTGCATAGCTAGTTGCAACATAGAAATTACACTAATTTCTAAAATGGTATTAAATAAACACTATAGTGGTTCATGGCATTATAATAAAAATAGAGAATTTTGAATTCCTTCTGGCAATAAATATAATGTAACCAATTTAGGGACAAAAACCGAAAAGAAAAAATTAAATGCCTTTTAAAAAACAGAAGTGGGTAGCTAGAAAGTACCATATAGCCTTTTTCTCCTCTACTGTATAAGTAATTCCTTAATAAGTGCTTTGATAGTGGAATGGGAAACAGTCACTTCTTTCTGTCTAAATACTTGGACATTTCAATATGTCTCAGTTTCCTGAAATCAGTCACAAATTGGCTGGGGAGGGGTCTCCACAATAGTCTTCAAAAGTGCAAGCCATACGGGAACATTCTGCCTCTGCTAAAGATTCATCTTTATGATCTATTTTTGAAAGCACAGTTTCTAAGTTTCATTTAATTCTTTAATGCCCAGCAGGAGGATCTTGAAACTGGCACCACCTGCTTCTTTAATTTTTGGCAGCAAATTTACACTGTCTTGTTAGTGTTTTGATAGCAAGTCACCAGAACAGTCTTTTGACAGTGAAATACTTGGATCTCTTGTGTTGGATAAATCACTGTCATCACTGACGTTCTCTGCTGAAAGTGCCACACTAACTGTATGTCTTCGGTGCATTAGTTTACTTCGAAGAGGAGCATCTATCACATCATCCTGTTTCACAGATTCACCACTGCTTTCTGCATCAATAATCTTAACTTTGCTCTGGTCCAACATCTGGTCAATAGGTTTTAACTTGGTCTTATCAAAGCTCTTAATAGCTAACTGTGGGAAGAAAGAAATGGTACATGTTAAAGGCACTGTATATTTCTCTGGCTATAAAAAGTCAAAAGACTACATTTTAAATATAAGCCTACAAATTCATTCCAAGGTCTACTTTTATTATACAGTATTATCAAAAAGTACTTAGGGCATATAGTCAAGGATTAAAAGTGCTTTACGAAGAAGCATAATCATTCTCCCCATTTTACATATGGAGAAACAAGTACAGAGATGTTAAGTAATTTGTCTAGGCTATACAAAGTCACCAGTAGAGCTGGGAATAAAACTCAAGCGGTCTCATTTTCAGTGCTCTGTCCACAGCACCTTTCTAAATCAAGGACTCAAGGACCTAAGCAACCACCATTTCTACCCTCCAAGACAATTGAGATCACCCAAATTGTCACTGGTCTCAGTTGAGACTTCAGGGTGTAACAGGGTCCTTGTCTGCCAAGGTGTCTCTCTAGCTCTCAAGGCCTCGCCCTTTTATTCACTGCATCTTTAACTATTTTAATTTCCCCTTTTCACACCTACTCCTTCCCATCTTGATTATTTTTTGCTTGGCAAAGGGGTGGTTCTCCCGGAACACTGGATACTTTACAGAAGTTAAAGTAACTAAAAATAAAATCCAGGTATATTAATGATAGATGTCTATAAATAAGAATAACTAAAAATAATCCTTATTACCAAAAGCTTTTCCTGAAACAAGATCTTCCAAAAATTTCAAAATGGGCATCTCCAAAATACAAACTACTGTAATAATTCAGAACTCAAAGCTTTAGTAAAATCAGTGCTTAACAGCCACACATGGCAGAAGTGATGTATATCATTTTTACACATCAACTTTTTGGAAACCACCATCTTGGTATGACCTACTGCCTGATCCACAACCAAAAATCTGAAATCCCACTGTTAACTAAACCGTTCATGTATTATGGTTAGTATTGGTTAGAAGTAATAACGTATTGAGCATCTTCATTTGAAGATCTTGAAGTGCTTTACAAAGCCTCATAACTTTATGAAGCAGAAAAGCATTCTTCCATTTTACAGGTGGGGAATCAGAGGCAGACTGATTAAGTGACTTGCCCAAAGTCACAAAAGAAATCTAGTAGAGCTGGGAATGGAATTCAGGAGTTCCAACACCCAGTTTGCTGCCTTAATTACTTGCAAAGAATCCCTCCCTAACAATGGGCACATTAGCTTATAATGTAAGAGCCATCTTGAATCTCAACACCAAGGTCTCCACCTCAATGGTCCCTTCTAGGATTCTTGCTCATCCTACTTAAAAAAACCCAATAATATCAACTTAATCTCCGCTTGACTACAGCTCTTTTCTCATATGCTCTGGCTCTCTAAGGTTTGATACATATATCCCAGATTGCTCTGGCCAGGACACAGACAACACACAGATAGAGCCTGCAATGAGTGACTAAACAGAAGAGATGTAAGGATTGACATGAGGACTCCGTAAGTGTAGAAGCAAATAAAATTGCTATACAAAGAACTCAAGCAAACATTTTCTCCTACCTGATGCAATAATTCGTCATCAAAATTAGGGACACTTTTATCTCTTGTTATTGTTCTCCGTAAATATTTTGATCTAAAAATATATTTTGAAAGGATTAGAACTAACTACAAAGCAAAATGCCTTTAGTTTCAGTCTTTCTGCAACATAATCTTGTGGATTCATCAGCCACAAGATGGCAACATTTCAATAACATACAAAGATCTGGTACCTGAATTGTGTGTTCATATTAAAAACAAAAACAGAAAAAAATCTATGAGTATTTTCTGTGGATAAACAACTATTGAGCATAGAATATAGTTTGGATTTTACTACAGACCACCTAACCAGGAAGACGAGGATGAAGATTTTTTTAAACAGCTAACAAAATCATCCAAAGCACAGAACTTGGTGCTGATGGGGGACTTCAATTACCCAAACATCTGGTGGGAAAATAACACAGCACGGCACAGATTAGAAACAATTTTTTATTTCAGAAGGTGCAGACAGCTACTAGGGGAGAGGCTGTTCTAGATTCGATTTTGACAAATAGGGAGGAATTGGTTGAGAATTTGAAAGTGGAAGGCAGCATGGGTGAAAGTGGTCATGAAATGATGGAGTTTATGATTCTAAGAAATGGTAGGAGGGAGAACAGCAAAATAAGGACAGTGGAGTTCAAGAAGGCAGACTTCAGCAAACTCAGTGAGTTGGTAGGTAAGATCCCATGGGAAGCAAGTCTAAGGGGAAAAACAATAGAAGACAGTTGGCAGTTTTTCAAAGAGACTTTATTAAGGGCACAAGAGCCAACTATCCCACTGTATAGGAAAGATAGGAGGGATGGCAAGAGACCACCATGGCTTAACCAGGAGATCCTCAAAGATCTAAAAATCAAAAAAGAGTCCAACAAAAAGTGGAAACTAGGTCAAATTACAAAGGATTATATAAACAAACAAAACAAGTATATAGTACAAAATTAGAAAGGCCAAGGCACAAAATGAGATCAAACTAGCTAGAGACATAAAGGGTAATAAAAAAACATTCTACAAATACATTAGAAGCAAGAGGAAGACTCAGCGTAGGCCCATTACTCAATGACGGGGGAAATGACAGAGGTGCTTAATGACTTCTTTGTTTCAGATTTCATCAAGAAGGCTGGTGGTGACTGGAAGTATAATGTAGTGAATGCCAGTGAAAATGAGGTAGGATCAGAAGAGGCTAAAATAGAGGAAGAAGAAGTTTAAAATTATTTGGACAAATTAGACAAATTAGATGTCTTCAAGTCAGCAGGGCCTGATGAAATACATCCCAGAATACTCAAGGAGCTGACAGAGGAAATATCTGAGCCATTAGCGATTAATTTTGAAAAGTCATAGAAGATGGGAGAGATTCCAGAAGACTGGAAAAGGGCAAATATAGTGCCAATCTTTAAAAAGGGAAATAAGGACAACCCAGGGAATTACAGACCAGTCAGCTTAACTTCTGTACCCAGAAAGATAATGGAGCAAATTATTAAGCAATCAGTTTGCAAATACCTAGAAGACAATAAGTCAGCATCAATTCGTCAAAAACAAATCACATCAAACCAACCTGATAGCTTTCTTTGACAGGGTAACAAGCTTTGTGGATGGGGGGCGGGAAGTGGTAGATGGGGTATAGCTTGACTTTGGTAAAACTTCTGCTACTATCTCACATGACCTTCTCATAAACAAACTAGGGAAATGCAACCTAGATGAAGCTACTATAAGGTGGGTGCAAAACTGGTTGGAAAGCTGTTCCCAGAGAGGAGTTATCAGTGGATCACAATCATGCTGGAAGGGCATAATAGGTGGGGTCCTGCAGGGATCAATTCTGAATCCAGTTCTGTTCAATATCTTCATCAATGATTTAGATAATGGCATACGGAGTACACTTATAAAGTTTGCGGACGATTCCAAGCTGAGAGGGGTTACAAGTGCTTTGGAGGATAGGATTATCATTCAAAATGGTCTGAAGTGAATAGGATGAAATTAAGGACAAATAAGGACAAATGCAAAGTACTCCATTTAGGAAGGAACAATTAGTTGCACACATACAAAATGGGAAATTACTTCTGAAGAAGGAGTACTGCAGAAAGGGATCTGGGGGTCATAGTGGACCATACCTAAATATGAGTCAACAATGTAACGCTGTTGCAAAAAAAGTGAACATGATTCTGGGATGTATTAGCAGGAGTGTTGTAAGCAAGACACAAGAAGTAATTCTTCCGCTCTACTCCGTGCTGATTAGGCCTCAACTGGAGTACCAGTTCTGGGCACCACATTTCAGAAAGGATGTGGACAAATTGGAGAAAGTCCAGAGAAGAGCATCAAAAATTATTAAAGGTCTAGAAAACATGACCTATGAGGCAAGATTAAAAAAACTGGGTTTGTTTAGTCTGGAGAAGAGAAGACTGAGAGGGGACATAAGAACAGTTTTCAAGTATGTAAAAGGTGGTTACAAGAAGGAGAAAGAAAAAATGCTTTTCTTTACCTCTGAGGATAAGACAAGAAGCAATGGGCTTAAATTGCAGCAAGGGAGGTTTAGGTTGGACATTAGGAAAAACTTCTTAACTGTCATGGTTAAGCACTAGAATAAATTGCCTAGGGAAGTTGTGGAGTCTCCATCATTGGAGATTTTTAAGAGCAGGTTAAACAAACACCTGTCAGGGACGGTCTAGATAATACTTAGTCCTGCCACGAGTGCAGGGGACAGGACTAGATGACTCTCGAGGTCCCTTCCAGTCCTATGATTCTATGTATAAGAGCTTAAATACAAGTATCTGCAATTATTAAAAAAGTCATCATCATCATAGTTTTCAAATATCTCAGTGAAGCAGTGCTTGGAGGATATTTTCAAAGCAGTCTAGATGATTTTGCCACACATTAAAATTAATGAGAAATGTGTAGTAAAATCCCTTAGACTGCTTTGAAAACACCAGCCAAAGCTTATCAGGAGTGTGATATATGCTTGGCCCATTTTCTTCTTTATTTAAAAAGTTATGTTTCTTACTTGTTGGGAAATGACGTCAGTGGTATTTCAAGGAGGTTTCTATGCTTACTTGTTAAACCTGTTGATTGATTGGACCAGCTGAAGTCGTCTGCTGATGGGATCATCTGCTGTCTCGGGTAGCTTAACATTTACTACAGGTTAAAAAAAACAGGAGGGGAGGATGGAGATGGGATGTGAGAAATTAAATTTCAATCATATTTTAGAATCAAGTTAGAACAGTTTTGAATAGAAAAGTGATATCTGCTGAACTTAATTTTTAAAATCACATTAAAAACTATAATAGAAGTCATCTGAACCAGTCACATTTTCTTCTTATTGGACGTTTTAAGCCATTTGAAGTTGCAAAAAGAAAGAAACAGCCCTGATCAGATGAGCATGACTGTCCCAGCTTCACAAAGGCATTTTGTTAAACTATGTAAAAATAGTTCTCAAGTTCAGGGACTTCAGTTCAAATGTTTCCAAGTCAGAATCAGTTGATGAATCACCACCACATAACTCCAGTGTTATTCAGATTTATTATGTCATGGCTATCTTACTGTTCTATAAAACTGCCACCATCATTCCTGAAAGTAGCATTTCTGCCTCTCGCATCAGGATACTTCTCTAATTCTCTTGTTAAACTACAAAACTTTTATCATCTTTCTTAAGAAAAATTATATCAGAAAATGGCAATAATCATTTGTAAAAGCTCACCTAAATTTGCAGGTTGGCCAAAGTTTTTAAAGCAGTGACTCAACTTCATTTAATTATCAACATCATCATTCACAACACTAAGACCTACTGCCTGATCCACAACCAAAATCTGACAGGTTTCAGAGTAACAGCCGTGTTAGTCTGTCTTTGCAAAAAGAAAAGGAGTACTTGTGGCACCTTAGAGACTAACCAATTTATTCGAGCATGAGCTTTCGTGAACTACAGCTCACTTCATCGGATGCATACCGTGGAAACTGCAGTAGACATTATATACACACAGAGACCATGAAACAATACCCCCTCCCACCCCACTGTCCTGCTGGTAATAGCTTATCTAAAGCTTATCCAAAATCTGAAATACCTCTGTTAACTAAAGCCTTGATGTATTATGGTTAAACTGATCACATGTTAAGGGCCCAGAGGCTGCTCTTAGTATCACATTCTAGCTTCAAAAACCTGCTGTGGAGGTTGTGACCACTGCTACAGCAACAAACTTCCCAAGAGAGGCAGGCATGGGCATTGTGTACCGTGGATTCTAATTAGCTCCCAACATTAATTTAAACTACTCCTGAAACTCTGATTTTTTAAAAATATATTTCTCATGAAAAGATGCGATTAGTCCTGTAGCAGAAAAAGCATTATAATTTTGAAAATAGTAGCAACACTGAAAACCAAACTGCATTCATGCATTTGGACATCATTATAAATCAATTATTTTAAAATATACACATTATATTTTGATTCAACCTTATTAATGCCTGTCCAAAAGTGTCTGATGTCATAGTTATGGTAACAAAGATACATACATTTGTAGAGAGACTGAAAAACCAGTCCTCAAAAATCAATACTGAAGTTTATCTATTAAATAAGTTAACTAATTTTGGTAGAAATAAGATTTTTTCCCCATAGTGAACATTTATTAAGCTGTTTGAAGCATAGGCAAGTAGGGCAAAACATCCATATGGGTACAAGCTAATTAGAAAGAATGCTGGACTTAATCCGTCACTGTTCCTTAGGGCAAAACAAACAAAAGGATATGTCTGACTCCAAACATCTGGGTGCTACTAAAAAAAGTAAAAATACAGTTCCATTCATCCTGGAGGAGGTTACAACATTACATTAAAAAGTTAACATATAAAAATAAATGAAGTTACGGGCTGTAATCATGGTTCTGAAAGGCTGAAGACTGAAAGGCACTTAGCTTCTCCAGGACTTCCTGGGTATGTCCACACTGCAGTTAAAACACCCCCAGGTGGCCAGTGTCAGCTGACTTGAGCTTGGGCTAAGGGCTGTTTAACTGTGGTATGGATGTCTGGGCTCAGACTTGAGCGCAGCTCTGGGATGCTCTCCTGTCGAAGGGTCCCCAAGCTTGGGCTCCAGCCAAGACTAAATGTCTACAACGTAATTGAACAGTCTCTTAGCCAGAGCCCGCAAGCCTGAGTCAGCTGACATGGGCCCGCTGTGGGTTTTAATTGCAGTGTAAACTTACCCCTGGATGCTAAGTTTGTAAAATACATAACGTATGTATGCATTAGGTAGGCAAGCAGTGTGTGCCTCAGTGTGTTGGTTTGGATTGCACCAGGTGTCAGGATATTTCAGACCCACAGGTTACCTTATGAACCTAGCAAAGCAAAAAAAACACTGCTTCTTGTAGCAGACAAAAACCACTGCGACCCCTGAGTTCAAATTCATGGAACATGTGTATTTCAGCATAGGTACAGAATGCTACTGCCCTGTGATCAACTGGGATGTAACAAGTCGAACTGGCTGCATGTACACAAACAAAAGCAGAGACTTAAGTCTTCCTTAAACCAGGTCCTGTCCTTTTCTGATGCTAAGCACGAATGCAAAATGTCACTTATCTTTCCTGTTGTATTGCTCCCCCTCATGCCAGCTCATCTGAGAAACTGCAGGTGGATTTTAAGGCAAGACTGGCACTTTGCCATAGCTTAGTGCAGAGTTAGTAGCACTGATTGTATTTGTTTCCAAACATGAGCAGCTAGTTAGCACAACTACAGAGAGTACTTCCTTCATTCAGTTTCCAAGGCAGCTTTTCAGTGTAAATCACTTTAAACTCGGATTCTGCCCATTTACTTGACTACTTGAACATATTTTTTTCAGATGAAATAGGTCTTCGGTGAAGGTAACGTAGATCCTAACTCTCTCTTCTTTCCACACACCTCTCTTAAAAAATTATCCTTACATATATTAAGAAAAGACCACAAAGCAAACACACAGGAATACTGAATTAACAAATTCTCTTCTCCCTCTGTATAAACACAAATGGACCTCTGTGTTTACCGATTCCATAATGTGTAAAAGGAACGGCCAACCTGAAATCTAGTCACAATTTTAAAAAGTAATCTAAAAGCAGTGTCAGGTACTACCCTCTCCTCAATTCCCCAGCAGCTGTGATGGTTTTACTGCCACATTTTCCCCACTGTTACATGTCTGTTGGTGCGTGTGATGGAGACTCACAAGCAAAAAGAGAAAACTGACTACTCAGAAGAGACTATGAAAGTTACGCAAAGTAACATCAAATGCACAAGGTAAATTTAACAGCCAAATTACTTTCCCTCCTCCAATCTTTTTCAGTTACAGTAAATTTAGATGTTACTTGTAATAAATAGTACGTAAAGCAGCTGACTGTTCCTTATGTATAAAATAAATACTAGAGAATATCTGATCTAGCACAAATTCATCCCCAAATCTCTTCTTTCTATTTATACTAATAAAAATGCGACACATACCTTTTTTCCTGATCTTGACAGTAACATGCTGCCCATAGTCTGTTTCTCCTTCCTCCGCTGATGATGGTGCATAGCTTGGTGCTGTTTGTAGCAACTTCATGATATTTGAATTCTTAATAACAAGAGTTTCAGTTTTCACCATTATTAAAACAAAGAAAACATCAGTATACATTAGGTTTCTAGTAGTCAATGCAGAATGAGCTGGTTAATCCTTTTCAGCCAAAATGACTGCAACAAACAGCATGATATACACCTTTATAAATACAAACCTATAATTACATGAATATTTTAATCTAAAGTTTAAATGGAAGCAGAAATTCATCTAATGTTACACAAGCTCTGCTATTCCAAACTGGTGAGCTAAAGGTTGTATTCTCCACAGATGGTCTACCATTAAAATATTGCAGATTTAGAAAAGATGAAAGTTACCAATTCTACAAATTGCTGTTTTAAACCAGGTAATTTATGGGTTGATCTAATTTATGAATAAATAATAGATGTAATAAGATCCAGGCAGCAGTGCACTTTAGGGCCACTATCACATACCTTAGGGGCTGTTATAGAGTACAAAGCTGAAAGCAGAGTGACTGTAATCACCCACGCAGTGCAATAATCCCGGGTAATTTAATATTGTGGAGCGTTTATTGCTATTACTAAATGGGGAAGTTAGAGCTGTGCATTTAACTAAACATTATTTAGGTAGAATTCCCATCACTCACAGCCAATTAGAATATCCCAATATCTTCTTGATTTCTAAAGCATTACTAAAGCAATAACTAGGGGAGTAGCCATAGGAGATTCCCAGTGCTCTTCCCTCAGAGCATGACTATACACATGTGGCTATACCCATGTGGCTCAGAAAGAAGGCTGTTGCTGTTTTATATTTTAAAATATAATCTTTCTCCCATTTTCTTTAAAAAAAAAAAAAAAAAAAAAGTACAGTCACTTTAAATTTCCCTGACTTACTGAACACAGTGTGTTACAAGAGGTAGGCACTCCCCAGAGGGCAAACGGACAATAATTCAGGTAAGGGAAAGTGTGAGGAGGTTACTAGAGAAGATGAGACTAGTATAGGATGTATTCTTGGAAGAGAGGACACCAGGCAGGCAAGGAGCGGGGAACTGTTCCAAGCATAAGGTAGCAGTCTGAAAAAGGACAATAAAGGGAGTGGTAAGGAGGCTGGATTAGGAGGAGAGTAGGGAGTAAGCAAAGGCAATAGGCTGAAGCAAGAAGACTTGGAGGCAAGATCATGCATTACCTCTGAAGGGGAGCGTGAAAAGGGCTTGAGTTTGACATGGTAAGAAACAGCAAAAGGGAGTGAAGGGAAAATGTGGAGATAGCTGGAGTGAGGAATACAACTAGCAGTGGGACTGATATCAAATTGGAGGAGGAGAGAAGAAAATGGAGGACTGGAAAAAATGGTTTCTGTAATCAAGATGAGAAATCAATCAGAGAATGAGCAAGGTTTGCATCAGAAGAGAGGGATGTATGGATGTGAAGAATGAGGGGGAGCTGTATTATTTTTGCATGAATTTTATATGTTCCCCAGTTTATTTGCTTGATATTAATTCTGTCTGACTACACAGAGTTAAATCAAAGGGGCTGTTAAGAAAAAAAAACAAGCAGGAAATGAAAAAAGAGATAGAAACCTCCTCAGAGAATACTAGGCGTCCTTAACAGAAAGTGAGGAGAGGGGGAAAGAGAGACACTATTGAATCAGGAAATGCCTACCTACCTGGTTCCTGATTTATTCCCCCAAGGCCAGAACCTAGGATCAAAGGGATACTAAACCATTAAAACCATCACCTAGACAGGAAGTCGGGGCTGGGCAGCAGCTGCTCAGGGGGAAACAGAGAGAGAGAAGCTTCAGCAGGGCTATGTTGCTCCCAGCACAGAAATGGATATAGTTGAGCTAAGTGGTGCTTACCAGAATTTGTAAGGCAAGTTTAGATTAGACCAGATTCATATAGACTTTTGGTGTTTTAACCCTTTTCTCTTTGCTTGCGAGGTTATGCACCTTTGGATGAATAAACAATATATTTGTTCTGAATAAGTTGTTTTGAGGTCACTGTAATTAGCCACTGGTCACAGACTCCCAAAGAAAAGTTTCTTGCAGGTGCCCAATACAGTTAGGCCTGTCATATTTACAGGCACTGTAACACAGGGCGCTGCAAGCCAGAGATCCAAGGGGTTGGAACACAGTGAAGAGAAGGAAGCCAAGCCAGGCACCTAAGGGACAAGAGGGACTGCAAATGGGTCTAAAACAGAGGTGGGCAATCTACGGCCCATGGGACCCTCCTGCCCAGCCCCTGAGCTCCTGCCCCAGGAGACTAGCTCCCGGCCCCTCCCCCCGCTGTCCCTCACCCCCGCAGCCTCAGCTCACTCCACCACCAGTGCAACGCTCTGTGAGCTCCTGGGGCAGCACAGCTGCAGAGCCCGGCCTGACCCGGTGCTCTGTGCTGCGCGGTGGCAGCAGGCCGTGGCCTGGCTCCAGCCAGGTGGCACGGCTGTAGCAATGCCAGCCCCCGGTGCTCCAGGCCGTGCAGTAAGGGGGCATGGAGCAGGGGGGGTTGGATAGAGGGCTGGGGAGTTCGGGGCAGGGGTGTGGATAGGGGGCGGGGCGGGAACAGGAGGTTGAATGGGGGCAGGGGTCCCAGGGGGGCAGTCAGGAAGGAGGGGGGGTTGGATGGGGCAGTGGGGGGCAGTCAGGGGACAGGGAGAAGGGGGTGGTTGGATGGGGCAGGGGTTCTAGGCGGGCAGTCAGGAATGAAGAGGAGGGTTTGGATGGGGTGGCGGGGGGCAGTTAGGGGCAGGAGTCCGGGGGCAGTCAGGGGACAGGGAGCGGGGGTGTGTGGATGGGGCAGGGGTCCCGGGGGGGCCGTCAGGGAATGGGGGGCTTGGATGGGGCAGGGGTCCCAGGGGGGTGCGGATAGGAGGTGGGGGCCAGGCCACGACCCCCGGCCCTCCATACTATTTCCAAAACCCAATGTGGCACTCAGGCCAAAAAGTTTGCCCGCCCCGGTCTAAAACATTGCTTTCCCTGACAATGGATTTTGGAAATATATGATAGGACAAAAACAAACAATCTGAAGAGCCCTTATTCCTTTGAACAATCTGCCTCACTATCATCTATGGTAGAAAGCATTCAGCTTCCCGCAATGGACTTCTTTCCTCCCCTTCTGCCAAGCAAGGATTCTCCTAAGGGAAGCAAAAGAATTCTAGTACTCAACAATATGGTCCTTCAGACTGCCCTGACTCACCCAGCCATGAAGCACATCCTGTGATAATTTAAGTCAGAGAATTACTTGCTCTGCATATACTTAAAGCTTCCATCCTCTTTTACTAAAGAATGTTTTGTTTTGTCTTTTCCCTCCCTGATGGCATATTTTGCTGTAGATTTCAATAAGTAACCAATGGCAGTTTTTCATTAAGAGTTAACAGAGATGGTACCCCAATTCTATTTTGCTTTTACCAATATGTTTGCAACACAGTTCCTTGTGGTACATGCTGTTTTAGCCAGACAGTTCTACAGAAGCTACATGGAATTGAAAGAATCAAAATAAGGCCATTTCTAGTCCTCTGGAAACACAGTTAGAATGCAACTGAAGAACTCAAATGAAGGAAACTTCAAACAGAAGGAATTTGAATGAAGAACTTCATGGAATTGAAAGAATCAAAATAAGGCCATTTCTAGTCCTCTGGAAACACAGTTAGAATGCAACTGAAGAACTCAAATGAAGGAAACTTCAAACAGAAGGAAATTTGAATGAAGAACTTCAAACAGAAGGAAATTTTGTTTAGCTGGAAATTCTCAACAGACCTGTGATAAAACAAAACTGAAGGAGAAGGAGAGAAATGATATTGTAAGATGTTAATCAAAAACAAGATTTATCAAATGAGCGCTAGAGCTTCATTGTGCTTCAGGATTTCCTGCCCTCACCTATCATTTTAAATTAACAATATTCCTGACAATCCTCGCTTATGTTTGGCTGGAAATGGTTATGTGACAAGCCTGTACAATTCCATTTTCCTCCTAAGAGATTAATACTGGAGTTTAGAACAAGCTAAAATGGGACAACTAATAGTAGATGTGGACTTTCTTCACCTACCAGCTCAGCACAGTCAAGAGGTGTACACTGTCTTTTGTTCCTAATGTGGTTCGAAGCACCATTCTGAAGTAACAGCTCTACCAAGACTTCATATTTTCCTAACACAGCCTCATGCAGTGCTGTATTTCCCTTTCTGTTAGAAAGGTTGACTGAGGCCCCATGCTGGAAGAAAAAGTAAACATTTGAATTAAATGTTATAAGGAAAAAATAGCATCACACTACCTTTCTCCTTGTCTCCTATAAAAAAGCACAGAGTACTACACCAAAACAATCCATTAGAAACCTTACAGCTACTTACAGAAAGTGTAGATTTCCACAGTGAGTTCAACAGCAATAAACACTACAACAGTGATCATTCTCCCCTTAATTTCATGAATCAACTCATCTCATTTTGCATATATCTGCTACATATCCCACTCATGTTGGTGAGGCCTGAGAGAGATCTTTAAGAAGAAAATGCTTTTGGTATATTATCAGCTTTTGCTACCAGTTATCTGGAATTCTGATGACATACACCATTAGCAAAAAAGCTAGACACCAGGCACTAAGTTGTTAAATAATATATGTTACTTGCAATAACATTACAGAAGTATTTATCTAAACAAAACACCATAGTGGATGGAGTTAATGGGGGAGGGATACAAAACTGCTCTGAATTTTCCTTCCAGCAGTTTTAAAGGATAAATGCATTACTAGTATTAATACTAATGTTTTGTATTCAGTACTTGTAATATTAAAGGTTCCATCTTAAATATCACAAGAGGAAGGATATTTTGAACATAACCTTTTCTGTGAAGAAGTCTTACCTCTAACAACAAGGCAGCAATCTCATGTTGGCCATTCAAGCAAGCATAAATTAAGGGAGTATTTCCATGTACATCCTTTTTATTTTGTTTAGCATTGCAATCCACTAGACACTTTACTACCTATGGGAAGAGAGATTAAAATGCCAGTTTAAAATACTTTAACTTACCAGAATCATAGAGTTAAAATACCATTGTCATTACTGCAACACCATTAATGACACTTCTAATGGAATATATTTTCTGATACTGTAAATCAAGAGTGAAGTGTTTCAGATACTCAGAACCAGTGGTTTAATTTAAGAGTCCCACTGATGCAGAGAACACTGGTTCAAACTAGGAAAAATTCAGAATCTGGATTCTTGAACCTTGTGTACCCCTTGCTCCATGTTCCTATATTGTGCCAACTTGTTGTAATGCCAATAAGGAGCATCTTATGCAGACAATCTAAAGGCTACTTTGTTACCTATGCCCATCAGACTTACATGGGCCTGCATTTTCAAATGTGACTTGTGATTTTGGGTGCCCAGCACTTTTTGAAAACCAGGCTTGCTCAAAGTGGGGCTGCCAAAAATGGAGGCACCCAAATTTACCAGTCAACTTTGGGAAGTTAAGTTCATGGAGAACAAACACAGATAGATGGAAAAAGCAGTAATTTCAGTATAAATTTCCACTGGTCACAATAAGAAAGTTTAGTTATTTTAAGCACCTAATCTAGGAATGCTGCATGCAATTTACTTTCCTTTAAAATAAACAGGTTGGAGGAGATCCTTAAAGGATCCAATATAAATTTAACATTCAAAGAAAATCCAAACAATGAAAAGATTTTTCCTCTGTCTGAAGTCTGGATGCTTTGCTTGGTATCTGTCTGGATGACACAGCACTCATCATGGCTGACAAGCAGTAGAAGGATGCTTCTCTCTGGGTCAACTGCTGACCATCTGGCACAGTTTTCTACCTACTTTGTTTTAATATTTTGCTCCTTAGAGGTTAAAAAAAATTAATTTGAAACTTTCCCCACCAGTCCCATATAGTCAGTAAAATAAATAACCTGGTTCTGGAACATGTGAATTGTATGTGTGTGCACGCACACACACACGGCCAATGACCTTATAAAGGATGAATGCCCCACAGCAACGCCATCCTGGCATCCCTCATCCTAGCAGATTAGGGAGTTGTAGGATAATTGGCAGGTAAGTACTATACAGTCTAACACCAGAGAACTAACATTCATTGACCATTCATGGACATCTTTTCCTCCTTGTTTACATTTTCTTTAGTATTTTCTCTCTCTCTCTCTCTCTAAAGTTCTCTTCATTTTAATTCCATTGTACTGGCTTTTCCTCTCTTCTTTCCACACCCCAGAGAGAAAAGGAAGAAAAATATCAGATTTCTCATCCCCTTCTCCATTTCTGTCCTTTCCACCTGCTTTCTCACATCCAATATTTTCCCCTTCCATTTACTGTCTCCCCTACATCAGTCTCTTCAACCACTTTCTCTCCTCCCCACCACCTCAACTAGCTTATTTTTCTCCTTCAGTACTTTCCATGTCCGCAGCTGCGCCTGGAACCAAACAGGGAACTAAACACCATTCACAGAGCTTCAAGTGGCACGTCTCCCTGCTCTGACTGCATGATTAAAGAGTAGAAGAACGTAGCACTCCCCCGTAAGGACTCCAATGTGTGCATGCATATACACACACATATCCTTGAACTCTGAAGGGAGAGACTTTCTTCCTCTGTGAAGTTCTCAAAAGATACTGAACAAACCCTCTGAAAAGCCCAGGAGATGGACATGCCACAGGATGAAAACAGATCCACCTGACTACAGTTTTCTGAAGGGTAGAAGGAAGTTTCAATCCCTAGATCAGCGTTACGCTAAAACTAAACTCAGGTGTGTACAACACTGACCACATTCCATCTAAAAATGCAGCAGCAAGTGCATGTAAAAGGAACTCAATGACTTCACGTCCTCAGAGAAGAACGGAGCACAACACAAAGAAAAGAATGACCCAAAGTATATGAATACATAGCCATAAGGGAGACTAAGCCAGGCAATGTAATGGAGAGGGGATGAAATCCTGGGAAAATCTACTTAAAACAGCATCACTCCCAGTCTCAGCAGGGCTAATTTCACGAGGTCTGTTAGCAGAAATTCTGCTACTAGCAGATAGCTATTAAATTAGTTTCTTTTTAAATCTTTAAACATGAGGCAGAAGTTTTTAAACATGGGTTGAAATCAGTCTAAAAATGAATAAAAATATGTATGAAAAGCCGGTTCACAAGACATTTATTATAACATGTTTGATATGAAATGGTTCAATTTGAGCCAACACTTACATTATACAGTAATTTCAGGCCATTAAGAAGGAGAAAGCCCATACATAAACAATTTCAGTACTGAGAGAGTGGTTACTGCAGCATGGGAGGCATCTTCTCTCTCTTTCTCAGGGGAATTTTCTGGATAGGAGGTTTTTTTAAAGACATAAAAACCTTTAACTTCCTTTTTGCTCTATGTCAGGCTTATCTTGACTATTTTCCAAAACCACTTAGTTATTTTGGAACATGAAATATTAGCTAACAGCACTACCTGATGCAAACTGCTTTGCTTGTTTGGCCACAAAGTTCAGACCACCAATAAGGAAGTTGTATTTTGTTTTGAAGTGAAAAGAATTCTTTCACATAAAAAATGTTTGACTGACCCATAGTTCATAGTGTGTGTTACTGGTGTATACTTTTTTCTAAGCATACGTATGATGAAGAGACCGCTAGAGGTGATATCCTGTAGTATATATTTCTTTTGTGGAGACTAGAACTATTACTCTGAAAGCTCAATTTGTCATTTTTGACACATCCATGCCAAAATACAATACAAAAAGCACATGGGAAACAATGTAAATAGTGACAATTCTTTGGGATACAGACCAGGGTCAAGGCCTTCTATTCCAGAACAAAACAAATCTATTCTAGTAAGTGATGTTGCAAATATACACTCTGGGCTGAGAATGTTATCAGTAATATTTCTGGAGGGCCAACCCTCACCCTTACTCCCCCACAACAGGACTGGATTCCTGCTGTGCTAGGTGTTGTACTAACACATATGAAGACACAATCCCTGCCCCAAGGAATTAATAATCTGATTAAATCAACTTGAACCACAAAAATGTACATGAAAACCACATTAAAAGCCTACTCCACAGCATAGGTATCAGAAAAGTGTCTGAGCTTGGGAGGCTAAAGTAATCACAAAACTAAAATCTTTTCAGTCTAAAAGCCCTCTTTAAATGGTTAATTTGGGAGAAGTCATTCTACCTTGTAATGAGAAGTGTCCAGCTGCCTATATATGGAAGCTTTAATAATTTTTAATACACCCAAATGTGCCTCACTTGAATGTAAAGATATTTCTCACTGTTAATACACTACACAAGATGAGTTGTAAGAAGTCAGTGTCAAAGTAGTTTGCAGATTGAAGAAATGTATGTAGCAGATTAGTGTAGCGGGCTAATGGGTTAGTTCTTTCACTCCAGAAGGCCTAATTTTCACTGCATGATGTTGACTGCTGCCAAGTGACAAGTCAAGACAGTCTCTTGGACCTGATTATGCTTCCAACCGAAGTAATGGCAAAACTCCCACGATCTCCAATAGAAGTAGGACTGGGGTCCCAGTGAGTTAATGAGAACCATCAAGGCCTCACCTATTTAGATCACAGATTCCCTTGAAATACCTTTAGTTTCTATGTTTGTATCATATAGAGAAGCTCACTAAGAGAATACAATGGATGCAGAGGACACATACATGCCTTTATGACAGACTGCCTGTAACCAAGTGTTTTGAAATTGTATATATATTCTGATATCTGAATGTGTGTGTTCACTAATATAAAGAAGATACACACACACTGGGAACTACTATTGATTTTCAGGAGTGTGGGGTGACCTCAGGTCTGTCAGGTTGTGCAGTAAAGCAGAGCTATAACCCACTTGCATTTGACTGCTGCAAAGTGACAATAGCTTGCCTTCCTGCAAGTCCCTCCGCCATTTTGGATTCAGAAGGGAGTCCCTGAGGCACCATATCAAGTTTAACATTTAGGAGGAATACATTCATCCTGTGTCCCCTCTCCAAAACAAGGGGCCAGACCCGTCTGGTCTAGTTTACTCACCTCACCCTTCAAAACAAAATCCTCAGGCTAGCCCAGCACAGTCCATGCTGAGGCTACTGAAAGAGGCTTTATCCCTTACCCAAGCAGACAGAGTGCCTCACTGTGCCCAGTCTGCTTCTTCAGCATAAAGCAGCACAAGGAACAATACTATGAAGTCCCCTTTATACTCTGGCCTCTGCTACCTTAACCAACCCTCCCACTTCCTGGAATGAAGAGAGGGGATAGGAATTTGTCCCCTTTCTTCCCCGTTCTAGTCTCCTCCCTCCAAGGACACACACTTACTCAGCTACCACCCACACCCCAATAAAATCTACCTGCTGTGCTTATAGCTATGAAGTGAACCAGTTACCTGAAAGTGACCTTTCTGACAAGCCAGATGAAGAGGTACAGCATGGTTAGTATTCTTTGCACTGATATTGGCACCGTGTTTCAACAAAAGGTAGACTAACTCAGGATGCCCATGCAGTGCAGCCACATGTAGTGGTGTAAAGCCATCCTGGTTTGTAACATTTACTCCAAGTCCATTAGCAGGGATTCTTGCAAGCTTCTGTTGGGAGAAAGAATAAAACCCACAGAAAACTGATCACAACACTTTCTACTCAGTAAAGAGCAGTTAAATACCTGCATAGTACATATGAAACAGGCAGACAGACATTACAAACACTATTGTCCAGGGAGTCTTATTTAAGACCTTCAGTGAGATACCTGGTAAAGCCAAGCAGTTGGGTGGCACTGGCATCAACAGCCCGAGCCAAGCCAAAAAAAACAAAAAACCCCACAGAGTCAGCCAATCAGATGGGAGCAAAAAAGGCAAGTGGCACAGCAGGATAGTGCCCCCTGAAAACTGGCACCCGGGGAATTATCGCCCTGCTGCCCCACCCCTAGAACTGGCCCTGAGCACTGGTGACGGATAATTGTCTTATTTTTCCCTCCTTAAACAAGATAGGTTACTATAGAGAAATTTCACAAAAAGATTTTTATTATTAGCAGGGACTGAAAACTGCTCAGTTTGACAGGTGATTTAAGAGATCCAGACTTGCATTAGTTGTTAGCTCTAGTGGGATATAGTATGGTATGACTGGTAGGGGTTAATGTTACACCTCACATTTGTTTTACACACTTGATTATAGAACTGAACACAGTCTACATTCTTAGAGACAGATATTACTTAGTCTACTTCCCTGCTATGAGAAGGTCCAGTTTTTGAGGGCTACAACTACAGCTAAAATTAATTCCAGTCCTATGGAAACAATCCATGGCACAATATAGTGTATACTAATAATTGCTATAGTCTTTGGGAAATCACAAACTTTGAGGAAATGGAATTCTGCAGATCTGCTAAACTTTATTGATCTGCATTCGTATGACAGCCCTTTAGGAAACAGTACCCTGACTGAGACAGAACAGTAGGAGGGACTATATGGCATGAATTCCTTGGAGGCCGTCTATGGAAAAAGTTACTTGAGATCCAACTGGGATGTGGCCTACAGACTACTTAGAGAATGTCCTGTTCTACTGCTCTCTCAGACTGCATGGAAGCCAAAGTTTCACAATGGTAGTGAACCTTTCCCATTCTTCCCAACTGCAGTGTGTAGTTGCAAGATTACTTAACAAATGCCTTCTTATTTTTATTCAAGAGCCAGGTGGTCATTCCACAGTTACCAGTTAGCTAAACTAAAATGTCTCAAAGCCCTTGTTTCGGTAAGCAAGAGATTCCATCACTCAGTCACAATAATCATTTTTCCTTCTCAGTTGCAGATAATTAGCATTCTATTTTCTTTAAATTATGAGCATTCCTTATTTCCACAAATGAGACCCAAAACATGTGTTCTAAGGAAACAGTTATCAGTATTTATGCATTCAATACTACTCCTCATTAGGAGGCATGGCAGTGGCTTCCAAGAAGGAACATGATTAATCCCATATCATAGCCCATTTCTCTCTCTGCTATATGATAAATAATGGGTAAAGGAGACAACAATTCTCCATAATTTTATCTAGCTCTTTAGTTTTTTAGATACAGTTTGAATGAAAGATATGATAAACAATAAAGTGGTCTTATAAGTATTGTATTGATATTTATGAGGACAGGAAATTTCCTGCTAAGATATTACCAAAGAATAAAACGTTCCGTGAGCCAAGAGGGCAAGTTATCAAGGGCCTAGAGCAGATAAGGGGGTAAAGGAAACAACTGGGAGGCCTAGAGCAGAGTTGCTCTTTACCCTCACGTTTACGAAGTTACTCAGAACTTACTGAAAACATGGACTACAAATCCTGGACCAAAACAATACAAAAAGGGGGTGAAGAAGAAAATCCAAAAATACAAGTTTTCCACTCCCCCATCAGAAATCAAAATGAGCTTCTGAACACTGATTCTCTATTCCAATCCTTTCCACAGCCTGATTATCAAGTACAGCAACTTCATCTCATAAGGTGATGAACTCTATTAAGATCTGTTTCAGAGTAACAGCCCTGTTAGTCTGTATTCGCAAAAAGAAAAGGAGTACTTGTGGCACCTTAGAGACTAACCAATTTATTTGAGCATGAGCTTTCGTGAGCTGTAGCTCACAAAAGCTCATGCTCAAATAAATTGGTTAGTCTCTAAGGTGCCACAAGTACTCCTTTTCTTATTAAGATCTGTGCACATTTATTACAGGACTCTTGTGAGCAGAGACGCAGCTGTGCAGAAGAATAGGAATATTATTTCCCTGGGCTAAAAAAACCTAACTACAGGAATGCAAAAGTTATTCTATCTACAGAACAGAAAAAAATTCCAACCTTTTGTATTGGCTCACATTTTGAGCACTGGCATAATGGGTGACAAAGCTCTGGAGTTACTGTATCGTCAGCTTCGTCTGCTTCTTCTATATCTTCCTCCATCCATTCCAAAAGATAGCGAACCTGGCATAAAAAGGAAGTCCGACTTTATATTGCCCAAAATTTCTATCTCCTGATAATTAAAAACATGTACATGTTAATTTCACAAACACAGAATAAGTTAGAGAGCCTGAATGAGCCAACTCCCAACCTTGGCTTCCCTGCAGGCCAAATTAAAAAAAATTAATGTTACAGTTGACAAGGCAGCCAGCAGCAGTTCACCAAGTAACAATGAAGTAAATTATAAATGACTTCCTACTGCCTAATCAAGACTTCAGTGTTCACCTCTGCTTAAACCCTTTCAAATCCTTTTAGCTCAGATTGCTAAAGATTAGGCCAAAGTTTGTGCCAGTTCACGTCAACATGATTCTTTGTTCATCATCTGCTTTTAAAAGTATAGAAGTGACAAGGATGATGAAGTTTAACCAGCATACAAACTGTGCAGGTGCAATACATTTTCTCCTCATAGCTATAACTTCTCATGAGCTGGATGCACTTCCTAAGCCTGGAAGGGCGACCTAAGTTTGTGTCTAAATAATATGATTCCTTCATTTGTAAGACACATTTCCACTGAAGACAATCTACAGAGTAATGCTGCACATAGAGAATATTCACTGAACATTAGTGTTACATGTAGTTGTAAATAACAAAAACACCATTAAGTAGTTCTTTTTTGTTTGTTTACAGAGAACCTCATTAACCCATTGTGGACCAATGAGATTTGGGGAATACCAAGTAATTGTATCTGTCTTAGGTACTTCGATCAAGCCCATTATTGTAGTATCCAACTTCCTCACAATCTTTTAATGTATTTATCCTCACAGCACCTGCGAGGAAGGGCAGTGCTATTATCCCCATTTTACAGATGGGGAACTGAAGCATGGAGAGATTAAGTAGCTTGCCCAAGGTCATACAGCTAGTCCATGGCCAAAGAGGGAATTAAATCCAGGTCTCCCAAATCCCAAGGTAGTGCCCCAAACAAATGGACAATTGTTCCTTTCCAGGTGTCAGGGCAGGGTTAAAGTGGTCAGAGCATCATGTTATCCTTGGCCTCACCCCAGCACTCAAGAACAGCCTGAAACAAGTAAGGGCACTTATTTGGTGCTGGTGCTCTTCCCCTCCATCTGATGCATGGTGTAAGGGCTTCCAGGGCTCACGTAGCTCTTCTGGGGCTGCCACAGGAATGGAAAGGAACCTGTCCATTAGGATTATGCAGGATTATGGTAGCATGGAGAGTGCAAAGCTTTAATATGTGCCATCTTATTCCTCTCCTCTTAGGCAGCAGCATTTATAATAGAACAAATGCCTGTGTGCTGCTCCAGCACTAAAAGCCCCTGCAGGAGCATGTGAAAATGGAGGTTACTGCCTTATTGCCTTAGAGGGGGAGAGTCTCTAACAGATCTGCCCTGTGCCTTCCAACGAGCAGTGGCATAGGGCAAAGACAGGGGGCAATGCCTCCTACCAATTGAAGACAGAAATAAGAGCATCTTTACTGGATTCCATAGCGGGGCTTGATGCTGCAGGAGTGCACAGGCAATGGATCTCCAAGCTGCTGCTGAAGCAGAAGGGAGAGGGGCAGCTTTTCTACAGGCTTCTTCCCTTTCACCCACTCAGTTCAATCCTGCAGGTGCCAGCAAGGTCTTCTCCTTACCCCCCAGGGTGGTTCAGCAAGCCACAAGAGCACAAACAGCCTGGCCTTGCCCCCAGGCAGAAGCAGCTGGAAGGAGCACCAGGAGCAACAATGAGGGCCTTAAGCCTGTTTCAGGGTATTAAGTGCTGGGGGATAGAGATAGAAAAGGGATATGTTGTCCTCCCTGCCATCCCATGGAGAGTATGACTGCACCTGTATTCCCCTCCCTCTTCACAAGTAAGGTCTCACCTCTCTGAAATGCAGTAAACTGCAAAGCTGAGAACTTCTCTTGGGTAAGTATGCGGTTGTAGAAGAGCAAATTAGCGAGGTTTTACTGTCCAGTGTATCTGTGCATGTCCAGCAATAGCTAAAAAGGGCAGTGTTTTGTCACTGCAGCACCCTGACTGCAGGAAAACAATTTTCAGTACCCTAAATAGTTTCAGAATCTGCAAGGTTCTCACACTGCAGACCCTACTCTCCAACTCTGTACTGTCACAGAGTAACATAATCACCATCACAAACATAAGCCCAGTGATGAGCTGCCAAAATCTTAACAACCGGTACCCTCCTTACCCCACAAGGAGGTTGTGGCCCGCCCCCGCCCTTCCGGGACTCCTGCCCCATCCAACCCCCACTCCAAGGATCTCTGTCCCATCCACCCTCCTCCCCCGTCCCCTGACTGTCCCCAGAACTGAGGTCTCGTGGGCCACCGTAGTGGGTGCCCACCCCGCCCTGCCCCTAAGAGCCAGAGGGACCTGCCAGGGGGCGAGGTGGGGAGTCCCAGCAATGCTTACCTGGGACAGCTCCAAGGAAGCATCCGGCAGGTCCCACTGGCTCCTAGGGGCGGGGGAACATAGCTGGGGGGGAGCAGGGGGAGCAGCTGCTCCACCCCACTGATCACATCAAAAGTGATGCCTTAGGGTGCAGAGTACCCACCGGCAGCTCCCTGCCCTGTGCCCAGCCCCAGCTCACCTCCGCTCCTCCTCCTCCCCTGAACACCCCCCCACCCCGGCTTCCCGTGAATCAGCTGTTCGCGCAGGAAGCTTGGGAGGGCTGAGAAGCAGGTGGCGGCTTCGCACTCAGGCCCAGGGAGGCGGAGGCGGAGTGGAGGTGAGCTGGGGGGGGCCGCGAGGAGGGCCGCCCGCGCTGCAGCAGGTAACCCGGGGGCAGGGGTGGCACGCAGGGGAACTGCTCCCTGCCCCAGCTCGCCTCCGCCTCTGCCTCCCTTGCTTCTCAACCCTCCCCAGCTTCCCGCGTGAACTGATTCGCATGAAACTGGGGGCAGGGTAGGGGGCGGAGAAGCAGAACAGGGCGGAGCATTCAGGGGAGGAGGTGGAGCGGAGGTGAGCTGGGGCCGGGCGGGGAGCTGCTGGTGGGTGCTCTGCACCCACCAAATTTTCCCCATGGGTGCTCCAGCCCCAGAGCATCCACGGAGTCGGCGCCTAAGGCGCCACTTTTGGCCAGTTGTTCAATTTAGAAGCCCTTTTAGAACCGGTTGTCCCTCGCTGGACAACCGGTTCTAAAGGGCTTCTAAATTTAACAACCAGTTCCTGCGAACTGGCTCCAGCTCACCACTGCATAAGCCTCTCCCCGCATTAAAACTTTCGAAATGCTAATGCTGAGATTTGAATTTATGTCTCACCAAAACTTTAAAACATGCTACCCAAGCATATCTGTTTCCAATTACCATGGATTAACCAAGGATTTTGGTCAAAACATTAAATGCACTTTAAAATAGACACACACATTAAGTATCTCATGAAGCTGTTATAATCGAATCTTGCTAATTAATGTATGTCACTTCACAGCTTCTTTACATTTCTGAGTGAGATGCAACCCAGAAAAGCAACCAATACTGCACTCCTGGACTAAAGAGCTCCATTTTGCAAGTCTGCTAGCTCCCTGGAGACCCATAATATTTATTTATTCTGTAGCAGATTCTCTTTCTGAAGTATACTATAAAACACATTCTACTAGCACACACAAGAACAGGCAATGACAAGCAATACTAGAAGTTAATGTCAGGAGTAATTACACATTATGTGTTTCAAAGAACCAACTGACTTTACCATAGCATGGCCTGAATAAGGCTGCCTTTGTCAAACAAAACGCCCACTGACTTCATTTCCTATTTGCCTAAGTAAAGAGCTAGCCCTAAATGCATAAACATACCAACATCCCTCAACCCAGATAATCACCCATGTAAAATATTTGCCACATTTTAAACATCAGAAATAATGTAAATTTATTTCAGAGACGTTCTTTAAGGTGATCTTTCAAATAGGCAGGCCCAAAGCCACTGAGAGTTTTATAGGTAAAACCAACAGCTTAAAGTCCACCTGGAAACCAGTAAGTACCAATATAGGTCCCCTAGCACTGGCTCTTAACGAAATATACCATTTAAGAAAGCAGGCTGCTGTATTTTGCACCAGCTTCAGTTTCCATATTGAATTGTTCTGTAACAGGGTCTGCATTAGAGAGAAAATGTTGTAATCCCCTGGCCAGATGCTGATAGTGTGAAGCTACTATGGTCCCTACTAAACTAATTCTTTGAAGACTACTGAGGATCTATCACACTGTCCAAGTTGCCATTTAGGGCAACTGATAGCGGACAAATACCCTCAAAGGGGCCAGTGTTGTCCCATATCCTCTAACTCCTTCCCTCAAGCTACTATCACCAATTCAAATTCATCTGGACCGAATTTTAGCCATCATGCCTCAGTCTCAAAACAGACATTAGTTAAGGCACTCACCTGTGTCATCCAGGTTGGTCAAGGAAGATTTAAAACTGAGTGTAATCCACATACTGAAAACAGTGCACTCCGTGCCCACTCCCTTATCCCCCAAACAGCCCCATCTATAAGTTGAGTAAGAGGGATAAGGAAGTAGAACCTGCAGATCGCACAATTGAGACTCCTTGGGGAAATAACAAGTGGGGTCCCGCAGGGTTCAGTTCTGGGTCTGGTTCTGTTCAGTATCTTCATCAATAATTTAGATAATAACATACAAAGTACACTTATAAAGTTTGCGAATGATACAAAGCTGGGAGTGGTTGAAAGTGCTTTGGAAGATAGGATTATAATTCAAAATGATCTGGACAAACTGGAAAAATGGTTTGAAGTAAATAGGATGAAATTAAATAAGGACAAATGCAAAGTACTCCACTTAGGGAGGAACAATCAGTTGCACACATACAAAATGGGAAATGACTACCTAGGAAGGAGTACTGCGGAAAGGGGTCTGGGGGACATAGTGGACCACAAGCTAAATATGAGTCAACAGTGTAACACTGTTGCAAAAAAGCGAACATCATTCTGGAATGTATTAGCAGGAGTCTTGTAAGCAAGACACGAGTGTGACATTCTATACCTTGGGGGAGCATCCTGTAATCCCC